TGCGCGCGCGAAAACTGTGTTCGGCCATCTTAACTGACTTAGCTTAATAAACTCCAGATCAGCTTTACCTTTCTTCCTACTTCGTTATTATGCAGGTTAAATGCTGTACGACCGTCGTTTCCTTTCTCCAGTTTGTCAATAAAGCGTCTCGTCTCCTTCTCTCCAAACTTGATGTCATCGCTGCAGCCTCCCCATTGCCATCCGCTGTTTGTTTTTGGTTGTTTTCTTGTCTTGCCGCACTTACATCCGGGTACTCTGTTCTGGCTGCACTGGTGAGTGAACTCGTGTGTAATGGCGGCTGAGCTGATAGCGTGAAGGAAAGCTGTTTCTCGAGTGGCTGAAATGAATTGAGGATACATCATTAGACTCGTGGCTAGAATTATCTCAGGTATTTCGTTTCAGATTAATTAAACTTCGGGTGGACTAATTACAAGTGTTTCCACAAGCATGCCATGAATACTGAGAGAATTAATAGACGTTTTCACCGTTTTTGATGCCATCTTGCTTGGATGGGGGCGGCAAATACAGCAAAAATCGCAGCAAACGTATGGAAAAAGTTTTTAAAATGTTTTAAAAACACTTCAGAGCTCAATTTTTCCGTGAGTTGATAGACATTAGATTCGCTTTTCTCCCCGTACATTCACTGTAATTTTTGCTGTGTTTGCCCCCGAAACAAGATGGCGTTACAAACCGTGAAAAGGGATATTTCCCTGACGAAAACAATGGATAACGTTCAAAACTGCAGTTGAAGTACAGGCGGTCCAAACTCGGAAACGTATAAAAGGACTTATGTTACGCAACAGTCGAAATATAATGATCTGTATGGGAAAATCAAGTAGGGTTGTTCTTATTCATACTCCTTCGAAGACGTATTTTTAGGCTTAAGAATGTAACCGCTCATTTCCGAACTTGGGCCACTTGTGGTTGAAGTTTCACTTGCCCAGCAACACAGCACATTGACAAATTTCTTAGGAAAGTCTACATGGCAAAACATTTTGAATTCGCAGCAAACAAGTCCTGTTTCTCTTTACGTCTATAAAGTGCCTAACGATTTTTCTTTTAATTAATCAAACTGGAACAAAGCGTAACTTCAAATAACGGCTAGAATATTTACCCCCATTTGGGATATCAGTTAATAAGCACTTAATCAAAGAGTTTCAAATCCAACTTACCGTGAGTCAAAGTCGTCTTCACAAAGATGGGTAACTGTTTGTGAACAGTCTTGTCACCCAATGAACAGTTCCAGATCTCGTTTTTAAACTGTTGCCGACACTCCGTCAATCCACGATGGCCTCCCTCTCTAACAATGCGCAGTAATAATTCATAATTCTGGGGAAAAAGAAATGGAAATGAATGAAGAAAACAAATAAATGAAACGCTTAAAATTTTAGCTCAAACACCGGGGTGATTCTAATTCAAGATTCTAATTCAAGTTTCGTTCAGTTTCACGTTGCAAGAGGTAATGTACATTATTCGCGAGATGATTTGTTTGTTTCTGTGATTTATTTTGTTAATATTGGCGTGAGTCGAGACCGAGGTGTAAGTTTCCAGTAAATAATAGAGGTGAGAGTTTTTGCTAATTACGAGGAACAAAACTGTCATAAAGTTCGGTCTTTGCTTTAATCAGGATGGCATCATCAAGCATTTATTCTGTCCGTTAAATAAGTGAGAAATGTCACGCTTCACGTTTGTGCTAGCTTGTATACCTGTTACGCGCTTTACAAAGACGTTTAAAACTCAGAGGTGAGTTAAGTTTTGAGTTTACGTTATATTTATCACAGAGTTTACCTGACCTGCGAAGTGTATATTTTTATTTTGTTAAAAACTAGATTATGGCGTAATGCAATTCAAGAGGCTTAGCTATCCTGGGTTATGAGCCATTATACCATGCTCTACAAATATGGTAAGCGTACGTGTGATTTTTTGGGGCGTTTTTATTGTTATTTTTGTTTTCTACATTTCGGGGGCTTTTTTAATAAAACAATTATTCCAGTCTCGCTTGTTGGATATGAGATGGTCCAACGCGCGCTCGTGGAATAATTAACAATTATACCCGTCTTTATAGCGTTACCAAACGCACCAGAAAAAAACTTGCACAAGTTCGTCCAAAAAAAATTATTGACTTTAGTGTAAAACTGGTCATATTGTAAGCTATTTACATGACCGACACAAAGATGAGGTGTGAGTTTTCAGGACAATAGCAGAGGTGAGATTATTTCACAAAAATGAAAAATAAAACACAGCTATGATTATTATTGTCACTCTGTCAGATTCAAAACTTTTTTCGCCAAAATGTGATTAATAAAAATTTTGCTTGTAGCTGTAGTCCTCAAAACGCTGGTTTTCTCTGGCGATGATCATAAGTACTAGCAACATACGAAACACACTAAGGGACTGTTCAAAGCGCTTTTGTTGGGAAATTTTCTTAACAGAAGGCGCTAACATGTTATTACTTCTGTGTATGTTGCTTGTGCTTATCCTCTAACGAAACCCAGCCTTACGCTANGGGCGTTTTTATTTTTATTTTGTTTTCTATATATCGGGAGCTTTTTTAATAAAACAGTTATTCCACTCTCGCTTGTTGGATATGAGATGGTCCAACGCGCGCTCGTGGAATAATTAACAATTATACTCGTCTTTATAGCGAGACACGTTACCAAACGCACCAGAAAAAAACTTGCACAAGTTCGTCCAAAAACATTCTTTGAGTTTAGTGTAAAACTGGTCATATTGTAAGCTATTTACATGACCGACACAAAGATGAGGTGTGAGTTTTCAGGACAATAGCAGAGGTGAGATTATTTCACAAAAATGAAAAATGAAACACAGCTATGATTATTATTGTCACTCTGTCAGATTCAAAACTTTTTTCGCTAAAATGTGATTAATAAAAATTTTTCTTGTAGCTGTAGTCCGCAAAACGCTGGTTTTCTCTGGCGATGATCATAAGTACTAGCAAAATACGGAACACACTAAGGGACTGTTCAAAAGCGCTCTTGTTGGGAAATTTTCTTAACAGAAGGCGCTAACATGTTATTACTTTTGTGTATGTTTCTTGTGCTTATCCTCTAACGAAACCCAGCCTTACGCTATGAGTCAATATAAAAGTATCTGGTAAACTCCTTAGCGACGTAAATTATTCTGAAACCACGAACGACCAAGTCAAAGTATACATTTCTATTTAACAAAAAGTACACAGTTACTAGCGTTTTATAACGAATTCTTTTCCGTTATTTGCTACGCTGTTCTAGATGGTGAGTAGCCTAGCAGAGTGCGCTTGTTAACAAACTAGCAACCGCGTCTTTGCGTTTTTTATATAGATGCAGTATTGAACGACTAATAGATTTATAGATTATTCGCTCTCGATTTCTATGCGTGACAGTTGACCGGAGGGCGCTCGGGCTTATAGGGCGGTTTTCAAAAACGAGTGTCGAAAGTAATCGGGCAATTACATTGGTTTTGGTTTTACCACGGTTTGAGATGGCCTGTGTATATCCGCCCCCTTTCTTCGATTTTTTTGAGGGGAAGGGGCGGATGTACACGCACACAGGCTAGGTTTAAGATTGGCTGAGTGGTTTCACGACCGCTCCAGCTTGAGATAACTATCGGCTGATGGTCAGTACCCCGCGGAAATCTGACGTTCTTAAAACAAATATTTGCCAGGTAAGCGAAGCTTCGAGAGCAAATATGCTAGTTTGAAGAACATCAAATTTCCAACAAGCAATTATCAGACCGATAGTTCCGAGACATAAACACTATTGTATTTATTGTTCACCACTAAATTTTTTTCCCCGAGCCATTTTAAAAATCATATTATTTTCAACTTTTCAGATGAAAGGCGTGAAAGCCAAATGCAAAATATGAAAAAGAAAAAAGACCAAAACCCACTAAATGTAGATCAATCAATCTTTCAGTTTTTTTTTTCTATAAGCCTGCCTGTTTGCAAAACAATTTTCACGAACGAGTACTATCCATCCGGGCATTTTCATCGACGTGCACTATGGGATAATAGAGTCTTCGCCGATGAACACTATCGCGTCACGTGAATAGTTGAAACCAATGGTGAACTATAATGGCTGATAATATACGAGTAACTCAGTCAATCATAATTGTCGCGTAAGTATACCAGTAGAATTCACTTAACAATTAGATTATGAGCTCGAGATTTCTATCGCGCATAGAAATCGAGAGCGAATAATCTAATTGTTTTAGTATAAATCTACCAGTCATTGAAATCTTTATCTTAATTTTCTTCACAGACAAATAGAAAACGCAAAGAAGCGGCCGCCATTTTGTTAACAAGCGCTCACTGCTACGCTACTCACTATCTACAACAGAAAAGAGAGTGAGTCGCGTAACCAATCAGAGAGCGGCTTTTGTGATAGACCGCCAGTAGATTTATACTAACTGTTAACGATTAGATTATGAGCTCGAGATTACTATGAGGTGATAGTTGATGAGGCCGAAGGCCGAATCAACTATCGACTCATAGAAATCGAGAGCGAATAATCTAATTATCTTAGTAGATTTCGAACTGAAATTTCCTTCAAATATTCTGTTCTTAGTATTAAACTTCCTGCTTCAGAGAATTCGCGCGGACTGAATTAATTGTCAATTTGACATTTGCAGTTGTGTACGCGCGCTTATCAGTTTCTTTCAAAAATTTCGAGCTATTTTAATTCAAGAAACCGTCAATGTCCTCATTTTAGGGTTCTCAGGAATTTTGTTTATTCATTTGTTTCTAAATGTTCTTTCAAAGCTTCGGAGGAACGTGGTAACGTTGCAATTTTGTCCACCACACCAAGCCACTGCACACTGATGGAATAGATAGTGAGTAGCGTAGCCAATCAGAGAACGTCATTCGTGACAGAACTCTAGTGGATTTATACAGTATAAATCTACTGGAACTCTATCACGAATACCGTTCTTCTATTGGCTAAGCTACGCACTATATATTTTGTTGTTACTTTGCCCTCGTTGACTATCACGCGATATAAATCTCATCTCATAACAATAGAGATGAGATTTTTTCTCGCAAATGTGACCTGAAAATCAACCAAGTGTCAGAAGACAGATRGGATTTGTGTTATTTTATTCTCTTTTTTCATATCTTTTATCCTTCATAACACACGTCAAACATAATCTTTTTTTTGTTTGTGCTACAACATGAAAACTATGAAATAACAAACTTCCCTCTAAAATATGACAGGTGTCATTAAACTGTACAATGTATTTTGTCGCGAAAGATGAAAATAAATAACTATACCTTTGATGAGTTTGGTACTTCTATTTAAGAATATCGTTCATGAAATTCTCATAACCCACTGGTTTACGGTCATTAACGCAGCGAGAACTCGAAAGTCTGTATAAGTCAAGAAGCTACAACTTGATCTCTTCTGAATTGAAAGTCTCTTGTTTGCATCAGGTTTGTAAACGCGCGCGTTTTCTAGTTCTAAAATATATATGATTATTTCTCGCTCTGTCACACAGTTTATAAATATTGAAAGCGCCTAACAATTGAAAAGGGTATTAACAAGTTGTTTTCTCGTATCTAGACAAGGGTGTTAATGTTTTCACCCAGTCTTTACTATGTTGCAAAAGAGACAATTCAGTCTACTTAACTTTTCATTCCTTGATTTGTACTAATAACAGAAACGCTGGAACTGTAACTTGAGAATTTTTTTTCCCGTAGCACTTTTGCATTTATCGACCTCCCTATTTACAATTTCACTTCCTCCCAATATTAAAATTTTGCACCCGAAATTATCTTCTCTTTCATCCCTTGAAAACCTTTGCAGTGATCTAACACATTGCGCATAATAAAGTTAAATTTCTCATCCTGGATACTTTTAAGTTTTGCACATAAAAGGGTAAATCGGAATCGTCTTTATGTAAAAGTATCACCACAATCTTGCTCTTCTTGTAAGTTATAAAGTGGTTCCAAGGAGGACAAATGTATAACATAACGTAACGTAACGTAACACCTCGCTTATGATGGACACCTCAACAGGACTTGGTATAACGAAGAACAACGCATCAACAGATTTCTTTATGGCTCGGTTGATGGCCTGCTGGAATAGCTCTTTTGACTTGACATCTGTAGATTCATTCAACTTTTACTTCATGAAGAGCCACTGACCTGCCTGTTCAAGGTAGTGACGTTTCTTTTAAGGTAGACAGACGAGGCTCAATTCAATGGCGCAATTAAAAGTTGCTAGCATCCAGAATTTTCACTGAAAATCCGTTGTAAATGGCTTGCATTTCGTCAACACTTTGATTCAATTGGTTTGTAGTAAGAGAGCATTTGCGTTTGACTCATGACTGTCTCATCTGGTGATTTGGGACCCGAGTCTTGTTCGCTTTCTCCTTCGTTGACATTTTGAAGAGCGCTCATCTTTTCTGTCTCAGCTGCTAGTTCTAGCGCGACTGCCTCTGACCATCTGCTCTGGGCCGCTTTTAGCGTGCTTGTCCAGGTCTCCTGTAAGTTAACACATATCATCGTGTAAGAAAGGTTTCTATCCCCAAATACAAAGATTTTCGACCACGTTCTGTAAAGGATAGGTTAGCACTACTAGATCATTTGTAATAATTACTTTATTACTTCGAAAAATTACGAAGATTGACCACTTATATCTGTTCAATACCTCTCATTTGGGTTATAAGCTACCGTTTTTTTCTTAAATATTGTTCTGAGGTATAGAGTATCCTTTAAAGTTTTATGGGTCACACAAAGAACAGTTATAGATAGAATACGGAGTAAAGTCAACTACTGTTTAACCATTCCTATACTGGCAAGGAATTATCAGAATTATAGCAGTACTCTTCTAATAAACACATTCCAAACTGATGAATGAGCCACAACGAGCCAGAAGACGAATGCACTTTAGCAACCTCGGTAACGATTTACCAAGTTTTAGTCGGCACTTTTGAGAAGAATTTAACGTTCCTTGTTGAAGTCGTTAATCAGAATTATCCTACAGAGCATATTCACTCACTTGTACTGCAGCCATGCAAATTTATTGGAACAAAAATAAGTGTTAACATAAGAAAAGAGTTGAACTCCCACAGGATTGGTTTGGTACACCGACATGGCCGCCGTTTCATTGCTTTGGAACACCAATATGGCTGCCATGACGGCAGGTGCATACACTCCATAGCTAGAGTCTATTGGGTTTCCTTGGTCACAATGCATATCGAGACGCCTTGATTAAGCCCTCAGCTTTTATAAGGGAGGATGTTTAGTAACCACAAGAATCTTTGACCATAAAACTTGACCATAAAACGTTACCTTGAGGTTCTGTGATGGTGCTTGTAGAGTGTAAAGACCAACAGTTTGTTTGAATCTACTGTAATGGATGATTATGAACGAATTCTTTAAGGTGCTTCCTAAATAAAACACATCAAAAATTCCATTAGGATTGTTTAAAAGGCATTATATTGTTAGTAAAATTAAAACTGATTCAGGGTAACGCATGAACTGGCGTTGCTGTTAATAGGTCAGCATAAATTCACACAAACAGGAATACCATATAATGATATTCAACATATTCAAAACTCAACTGTTTTTAACAATTTGAAATTTAACGAATTCTTTTTCTTCACAATACTTCATTCCTTTATTATTTCTTGTTAAACGCTTCAGTAACATACCTGCATGTGTGGCTTCGGCATCAATAATGATGAATCTGTCCAGTGGAATTGGCTGCAAATACAACAAGAGGTTCTTCTTCATATTGGCGAATCACTGGAGCATTTAGCAGAGGAAGCTCTACGGACTTGAATCTTACTCTAACAGTTAGAGTGTTTCTCTCTTTCACGACTAAATTATGAGCACAGTTAAATATAAATACCTGTTTATAAACTGTGTACTGGGCTCCAGACATGCTACGTCTGACCACGGGAGGGGTGGGCGGGGGACTGTCTGTCATTCCAGTAAGATTCAGTTTCTGTACCAATGAAGGATGCTTTGATTATAAATTTATAGCGACAACATAATCAACAACACCAGTTAAAGAGTAATGGCAATTCCATTATTAAACGCAGATTATGCTTTCAAATTACACGAGTTATAGAAATGTCATGAAATAAAAAGTTAAAGAAATAAATTCAATTTAATGTAGAGATCAGAAACAAAAATTTGAACCCTGATAATGGAAAAAAAAATGTTGTCCTTCTCACTTCTATCAATATGAAACTTTCACTGCTGTTTATTGAAATGTCGATCTAAAAGCTATAACGTTCAATCATTTTCATGCTAAAATACTTCTTTAATGATTAGCCTCCATAATCCCTTACTATTTCTAATAAGGACCAATCAGCCATCAGCCTACTGAAACAGTTAAATAGTCTGAAATAGAGTGCTCTTTTTTTGTTTTTGTGTGATATATTGAAAGTTGTAGGGACCCGCGTGTAACTTGGATTAATTTATATCAGTTTATTACATTTCGTCCGAATTCCTACCTTGTTCATCTTTGGCGGCAGTTTTCGGAATTTTGTAAGAAGAAGCATATCATCAAATAGAAAGGCATACACATCGACTTTAGCATTTTCTGAAAATTAAAGCAATTATTGCAGATCAGTTGTGTGTCACTGCATAGAAATTTATTGAACTGAAAATCATTGAGGTAAAAAGAACCTTCTAGCACTCGGTTGACTGTTTAGGTCAGTAGATTCTTTGTTAAAATGTCTTCCTTACATGCTGCGAGGAGTTCCCAAAATGCACTGCACGCAAACGAATAATGGCTTACCCAGCAAAGTTAGTGGTCCCTCATACAGCAGTTGTCTCTTAGGACTTGCTAATAGACTCTCGCATGGCTGTTTGGTTAATATACCTCTCAGGAACTACAGAAACAAAAAAGACAAGGACTTCAGTAAAGCTGAAATTTAAATTGATCGAATTGGAGGACAAACGAGTGAAGGGTTCCAATCTTTCAGACTGACTGACTGACTAATTCAATGATTGATTGATTGATTGATTGGTTGATTGATTGATTGAGTGAATGAGTGATTGATTGACTGACTGACTGACTGACTGACTGACTGACTGACTGACTGATTGATTGCAATTAGTATTCATCGATCTACTTCCTCACCTCGGGTACATAGGTCTTTGGATCCAGCTCAGTAATAGAGGGCCAAACTAAACTACTTTGAAGCTCCTGTAACCTTTCGTAGTTTGCCCGAGACTTGACTTTACCTTCCAGTTCCTCTGTGGAAAATCAAAGTATTTATGTATTATTTCTCGTATTCTTTAAAAGCTTTACTCTTAGGACGCAAAAGCAGTCATCAAAAGACATCTTCACTTACGTATTGAAAGTTCTACAGCCTTAATAATGGAGGACAGAGAACTGTGCTGTTCATCGCCTTCAGCAGTTCGTTTCCTGATGTTCTGAAATTGAAGTAGAATCTCTTTAGATGAAACATTTCATTTCTCTCTGTTCTACCGACATTTCATGATAGTGTGTGCTTCAAGGCAGTATTCTGATATGTTTTGTTCCTTGTGGATTCATTTATTACTTCATGGTTAAAGTAACATAGGTAAAGTCTGCATATGAGCCAAGTGGCCCACCAGGCCGGAGCTTATCCCGGTTTCTGTAGCATGAAGCAAACACGACACAATGTCCCCGGCCAGAGCTCGACCCCGGATCGCTCGATCCGGAGTCGAACGCACTAACCACGAGGCCACCGCGCCTCCACTAACATAGAAATCTCTAAATTGTTTTTTTTTTCCGAGTTTTACCTTAAGTAGCAGTGGATACTTGGTAAGATGTTGTAGTGGCGCCACTAAGAGGTCGGTGATTTGAAGTCTGTTACATCTAGCATTAGACTCACACCACTAGAAAAATATAGGAGAGCAACAGCAAATATGAGAACAGAAGCATAAACAGTGGAGGAAGGGAGGGCGACTGCCTTCCTGGTAAACCTTCCAGTTAACCTATGATTCATACTTCCTCGAATTTTCTTCCGTTCAGTTGGCTCGCTTACTAAAAGTAATTCGAGGAGGTAAAGCACTTAGTGGAACTTCCGAAAGACCCAACACAGAAAAAGGGAGAAACGGCTTACAAGTGGTGATAACTTAGTTTAGTTTTTATTAACATTACAACCGCCAGGTTGGAAGCCGTCCACGACCGGTGCTAGAGGAGGTTTTAGCTTAAGCAAGAGTTAAAAAAAACAAACAAAATAATCATCGTCATCATCACTAATTCTCCGGCTTTGTTTCATCGGGGACACAGGGCGTCCATAATTTTTTGAGCCATTCTTTTGCCCTCGTACCAAGTCTTGTTAATCTCCCTTAGTTCTTTTGAGATGTTTCTCTGCCATGTAATCCTGGGCCAACAAAAATGCTGAGTAAAATATAATATTACCTTCATAAACTCCTGGAAGTCTTCATCCTTCTTCAGTGAGTCCAAATAACTAAGAGCTTTAGAGTAATTCAGACAATATTTCTGATACTGTGGGTGAACTTTGCGACTGAACTGAAAATAAGAAGCCACACCAGATTAGCGGTTAGTCAAAGTGAAAAGAGTACTACAGTTCATAGTAGAGAAAGAGTAATAAAACAAATACTTACCTCAGTAAAAGCGGAGACGACAGATGCGGTACTTCCAAACTGTGTGGGTTGCTCGCTTTGGAACACTTGCAGAAGATTCTTTGCAAATCTCGTGCTTACCTGCAAAGTAGCAGAATTTAGAGATAAGTATACAATGCTAAATACACTACATAACATTTGAATGATACAGTCTAATCAAATATTCTATTTGCCTGCCTTTCTTATATTTACGCGAAAAATCCCACATAACATCTTCGCAGTAACATTTAAGTGAAATTGTTACGAGACGACCGAGGGGTACTGTATATGACAATCATGAATGTGTCTTACGTTTTGTTCAGTAGTACACTGTTTGACAAAATGGGTGCATTGTTCTCAGAACTTGTAGTTAACAGTTTGTCTTCCATTACCTCACAGAGTTCTTCAAGATTACAGAAGATTTTGTTGCCATCCACATGTTGCAAATGTCCCATTTGTTGAATCTCTTTCAAAGGTTCGAGGAACACCTGACCAAAAAGGCAAATTAAAGAAAAACAGTTGACAGGCCGGGTAATTAGAAAAATCAAGGATAGGGTACTGGAAGTAAGAGCTTCTATTACTGTAGTTAACTTCAAACTGTAAACTAACGGAGGCTGGGGAAACATCCAAGAAAAAACGCCCTAGCAAACTTGAAGTACTTTACTGAAGGATCAACAAAGCTAAGGGATTCGAGGATACTAATTATTAACTTAAAACTTCTAAATGGTTTTACAAAAGTGATTAACTGAACTACGTCACAGTTGTTGTACATTTCCTCTTCATCCTCTATGGGAAAACTGGAAATGTTTCTCGACATAAGGAAGTAAAATTTATTTATGAAGAGAGCTCCTTCACTGTACAATGCAAACTATTATCAATAGAATCTCTGTTAAAATAAAATATAAAACATAAAGCGATACTTGTACTATCCTAGCGTCAAACAATGCAACTTAATCTGACAGGAGAATTCAAGTTGTAAGAAGTGCATTCTAAACATCGTCGGCATTTGATCGGAAATCTTTAGTAACCACCCAAACCTTACCTCTTTAAGAACCAATAGATGACTCATCAGATAAACAACCTCGCTATGAAACAGTTCCCATACTGCTTCGCGTCTTTTGGTCTCGTGATCAGACAGTGTAGCTTCAGATCGAGGTCTTCTCGGACTTCTCTCCAGGCTCTGCCCCATAAGCAGAGTCCAGTGACTATTCTGTAAAGGATAAAAAATCGCCGAATATGATTTCGTTAGACAAAAGCCAGGACTCTTTCTTTTTTTCCACTTTTTTCTCTTCATTGAATAATTACGGACTTGATGACAAGTAGAGGTGAACATTTATGAAATGGCATAAGAAATCAGAAAAAGAATTGGGAATTCAAAAACGCTGAGAGGAATCTCTTACGAGAGTACTTAACTTAGCAACAGTCTAACGTGTCAATGGATTGATTACCACCTAACAATTCTAGTTAAACTAAATCTTCAATTTCCTATTTTTTTTTTAATTTCTCAAATCCCCACTTCTTTGTTCTTCTTTCTGCACATTCCAAACATCGACGAAACAAATGAGTTCTTAAACGATTGTGGAATCTCGCTCTGCGAACAAAAATGACATTTTAGATTGCATGAAGCCACAAATAAATTTTGCCAGAATAGAGCGGAAAGGTTGGGGGGAGGGAAGCGTTAGTTTTCAGCCATAATCCCCTTGAGTCCAAAGCCTTTTGTAATTCTACTTTTTGTTGTCGAATGTGGAACTATCGTTATGAAGCAAAGCCAGTGGTTAGTCTACTAAAAACTAAATGATCCGGTTAAATATGAAAAAAATCCGGAAAAAACGCCCACAGGATAAATAAGCCGTTTCGCCGAGTATCCGCTCAACTATTATACGTCCAGCAAATTTTACCTCGAGATATGGATTAAAAAATTGACTAACCTGAAATAACTTATGAATAGAAAGCAATTTCTTACTGGATTTCCATGTCTTACTGAACAAATTTTGAATATTCTCAACGGCATTTCAAACAAACTTTATCAGTTTCGTGCCCTTTACGTCTTCAGTATTGTCCATTTTGCAATTCATTTCATAGCTCTTCATCGTTATTCAACCTTACTTCCTAACTACTCGCTTCATGAGTACCACTCTAAAACAATATGATTAATATTGCTTGTTTTCCATGATCTGCGTAGGTCTCTGAGCTTACAAAAATAGACGAGTGTCCCTTAAATGATATTAGGATCACAGTAATGAGTTGATTCGATGTACATAATTATTCACCTTAAATTCGGACAGATCGTGTTTCACAATTGCTTTTGGGGTCTCCCTCATGCGGGCCAAGCTTTCTCTGAAATCTTCACCTTGTCTGGCTTTGTCTTTCAGTAACAGCTATCATGATAAACAGAAAACAAAACTCGTTGAGCGAAATAACAATATAACTAATGTCACGAAAACCGAGAAGGATTAAATTTGCCCTCACCATCTTCTTATTTCGTCTGAGAATTGACCATCTTGATCGCTTTTCAGGATCTAAGACCAGATAAGACAGAGGTTAGAATAAAGCTTGTCATTTGTTAGAAATATGCCGAATTTGCTCGCCCACGTCGAAAGACTTCGGAAGGCCGAGAGATCTCGAGCGTCTGAAATCGTGCCTCGCTCGGAGTGAGACGACAATGTTCAGTTGCCGACCAGAAAATATTTGCAAGCAGCAACGGCTTAAAACACATATTACAAACTATGATTGCATTCTACTTAGCAGTTTGTTTTGTTTACCTATACTGTTGAGTGAAGTCGATGAGCCAGAGAGCTCCTTCTTCTCTCGGATGACGCTTAAGTGCTTTCCTTCTGTAAAAAAAAAAATAACAAAGGATATAACAAAACTATCAAACTCTCCCTTTGAAACCAAAACGGCGCCTCGAATTCTGCTTGTCGTACCGCACATTAGCAGCATGTTCTTGGCAGCAAGTAAATTCGCTACAAAGGTGCGACAAACGACTCCACGGCTCTTTTGTAACTGTTTCATGTCAAAATAAGTGGAAACTTTCCGGCAACTGAAATTTTCCAAACCCTACAAACTTTTCTCACGCGTGTTCAATTTTCAAAGCTCCTCCAATCTGTTAATCTTCATTTGTGCAGAATAACTCCAAATTAGTTAGAGAACAGCGGCGTTTGATAATGTGTTCCGGCCCCGAACCCGGATCGTGAATGCATGGCAAGAAAATAAAATAAAACAAAATACTGAACAAAGAAAGTTCTGGAGGTTATCACACCTGACCAGAACTTGACCATTTTTATCGGCTTTAAGGGCACATGGTCATGCAACCGTAAATTACTTTTCATGCACAAAAAATCAACAACAAGAAGACTCCAAATTATCATTTGCAAGGTGACTCAGCTAAATAGCCTATGTGAGAGAGAATGGTTCAAAATGAACAAGTTTTGACACCGTTAAAAACCATCGGTTTTTTCTCGTTGCGGTTTTCTCCAGCAGTTTACTGAATGCGGCACAAAGAAACATTCCAAAAATTCTTGAAAAGTTTCAAGGTTCGCCGCAATTGCCGCTAAAAAAACGTTGCCAAATAATGCTGCTCTATTCTTTTCGAGTTTAACTTCTTCACTTTCAGAACTTTAATCAAACTTCAGACTAAAACAGAAATTTCAACGCAATGTGAACAAAAATGTAAAAAAAAGTGTTCAAAGTAAGTCCAAAATTTATGCACTTTATTTATGCACAATTTATTTGTACAGATTAGTTAAGAATGGTCACTTTTCCGCGCTAAATACGGATCACGTGCCTGTTTCCGGTCGTTCCCATCCGTTGCTTGGCGGTATTGATCTCCTCACCCAAAAAAAAAATATTATTTTGTATTTGATAGTTCAAGCATTTGTTTTGTAACCGGTTTCTAGATTAACCGAAAATTCAGATTTTAATATAAAAAACCGTGGAGGTTAGATTATAATAAGCTTATAAGAATAATGCGCAGCTGTAATTCTGTTGTATAGATATTGCAATCCATTCAAGCACAAATAGTGATTTGATTTCACTTAAATTGGTGGCATTCATCCACTCAAGGAATGGGCAAACGCCTTTTTTTGTTTAACTTATTGTTGTTTTCTCATGTCCTGGTTTAAGACGTAGTTTTGTTTATTTTATAACCTTTTAGGTCAAATGAATTTGAATAGCTAGTTTTGTTCGGCAAGAACGATCACAGCTGCAAAGACGCCTCGGCCCGAAGCAAAATCGTGAGAGATCTGAAGGCGAGCGTGAAAAAACAATGAGATCAAAAACAAAAACCATACAAATTCCCTTATGTTTCTGTTGCATCAAAAACTGCTATTCACAAAAACACGACATTTTCTTACCCATTTGCTCTCCTTGAACATTAAGCACGTGAAGGTCCATCTGGTAATGGTCCCCAGGCATGGACACGACAGCGGACCCTCGTCGTTGGCGCGTTGACCGAGCATGCGTGAACACGGAGTCACTAAAAATAAATCAAAGTGTGCGTTTTAGTACATTTGTTTAAACTCTTTTATACTCCCTAAGTGTTTGATAGACTGTCACATCAGCAGGTTAAAGAGAAAACTCGGTCATTACGTACTCTTCTTCATCGGCCATCGTTTCTTCTTTTGGGTTTTCATCGATTGTTCGTGGACTCTGAAAGAACAAAAACATTTTTTCAGTATGCAGGTGTCACTGAGACACACACGGTGGACAAACTGTCTAAAACTATTACTTTAAGAGCTAAAAGCGTACGATTGACAATTTTCAAAAATGGTTCACGATATATAGGATCAATGTTTCTTTTACCGGCATTGTGCCTGCTCGAGATCTCTTTCTGCGGTTGTTCAGGAATTCTGCAATGTCGGCAGCAAGGCTCTCGGCGTTTTCTCTTTCGATATCCCCTTCAAATTTCTGAAAAAAGTTAAATAAGTCAACATTTGCAAAGAGTTTACTTCAGAGATGATTTATATCTAACACTGAACGATAGCGGCTTTCCTTACCAGTGACACTGAAGTTTGGCGGTGTTTCTTGACGTAAATTTCGTCGTCGTCGATCGACTTCCTTCTTAAACGGTTCTAAAATAAAACAAGAGTAGCGTAAGTCGAGTAACTCACTAGTGTAACTGACTTTAACAATGTCAAACACATTCTCAGCATCTCAGAACGTCTTCAGCACAAAGTTTGTCAGCACAAAGTTCACCTGGGCATGATTGATATCCAGTTTCTCCTTAGAACATCTAATTTTATCAAGCAGATGGGTGATAAGAATATTGACAATTATCAATTTGGGGATATCGTCTTTGTGTATAACCAAATTCTCACAACTATTATTAAACAAATTTGTGGGAATAATTAAGTAGCTTGGTGAAGAATAATCAATTATATGTACCGTTTGCACATTGTCTTTACTCTGTGCTTGCACGCCCATGGTGGACAGGTAATGTCCAAAGGATTCGACCGGAAGTGACACTGTGTGTGCCAGTTTCCTTCTCAACTGTGGACTGCCTTGTGGACTTGGCCCGGGACTGGGAGCGGCTTGAACCTCAGAAAGAATTCTCTGAAATATAAACATATCATTGTAAAAAGTATAAAGCTGAGTCTTACNAGATGTTTCTCTGCCATGTAATCCTGGGCCAACAAAAATGCTGAGTAAAATATAATATTACCTTCATAAACTCCTGGAAGTCTTCATCCTTCTTCAGTGAGTCCAAATAACTAAGAGCTTTAGAGTAATTCAGACAATATTTCTGATACTGTGGGTGAACTTTGCGACTGAACTGAAAATAAGAAGCCACACCAGATTAGCGGTTAGTCAAAGTGAAAAGAGTACTACAGTTCATAGTAGAGAAAGAGTAATAAAACAAATACTTACCTCAGTAAAAGCGGAGACGACAGATGCGGTACTTCCAAACTGTGTGGGTTGCTCGCTTTGGAACACTTGCAGAAGATTCTTTGCAAATCTCGTGCTTACCTGCAAAGTAGCAGAATTTAGAGATAAGTATACAATGCTAAATACACTACATAACATTTGAATGATACAGTCTAATCAAATATTCTATTTGCCTGCCTTTCTTATATTTACGCGAAAAATCCCACATAACATCTTCGCAGTAACATTTAAGTGAAATTGTTACGAGACGACCGAGGGGTACTGTATATGACAATCATGAATGTGTCTTACGTTTTGTTCAGTAGTACACTGTTTGACAAAATGGGTGCATTGTTCTCAGAACTTGTAGTTAACAGTTTGTCTTCCATTACCTCACAGAGTTCTTCAAGATTACAGAAGATTTTGTTGCCATCCACATGTTGCAAATGTCCCATTTGTTGAATCTCTTTCAAAGGTTCGAGGAACACCTGACCAAAAAGGCAAATTAAAGAAAAACAGTTGACAGGCCGGGTAATTAGAAAAATCAAGGATAGGGTACTGGAAGTAAGAGCTTCTATTACTGTAGTTAACTTCAAACTGTAAACTAACGGAGGCTGGGGAAACATCCAAGAAAAAACGCCCTAGCAAACTTGAAGTACTTTACTGAAGGATCAACAAAGCTAAGGGATTCGAGGATACTAATTATTAACTTAAAACTTCTAAATGGTTTTACAAAAGTGATTAACTGAACTACGTCACAGTTGTTGTACATTTCCTCTTCATCCTCTATGGGAAAACTGGAAATGTTTCTCGACATAAGGAAGTAAAATTTATTTATGAAGAGAGCTCCTTCACTGTACAATGCAAACTATTATCAATAGAATCTCTGTTAAAATAAAATATAAAACATAAAGCGATACTTGTACTATCCTAGCGTCAAACAATGCAACTTAATCTGACAGGAGAATTCAAGTTGTAAGAAGTGCATTCTAAACATCGTCGGCATTTGATCGGAAATCTTTAGTAACCACCCAAACCTTACCTCTTTAAGAACCAATAGATGACTCATCAGATAAACAACCTCGCTATGAAACAGTTCCCATACTGCTTCGCGTCTTTTGGTCTCGTGATCAGACAGTGTAGCTTCAGATCGAGGTCTTCTCGGACTTCTCTCCAGGCTCTGCCCCATAAGCAGAGTCCAGTGACTATTCTGTAAAGGATAAAAAATCGCCGAATATGATTTCGTTAGACAAAAGCCAGGACTCTTTCTTTTTTTCCACTTTTTTCTCTTCATTGAATAATTACGGACTTGATGACAAGTAGAGGTGAACATTTATGAAATGGCATAAGAAATCAGAAAAAGAATTGGGAATTCAAAAACGCTGAGAGGAATCTCTTACGAGAGTACTTAACTTAGCAACAGTCTAACGTGTCAATGGATTGATTACCACCTAACAATTCTAGTTAAACTAAATCTTCAATTTCCTATTTTTTTTTTAATTTCTCAAATCCCCACTTCTTTGTTCTTCTTTCTGCACATTCCAAACATCGACGAAACAAATGAGTTCTTAAACGATTGTGGAATCTCGCTCTGCGAACAAAAATGACATTTTAGATTGCATGAAGCCACAAATAAATTTTGCCAGAATAGAGCGGAAAGGTTGGGGGGAGGGAAGCGTTAGTTTTCAGCCATAATCCCCTTGAGTCCAAAGCCTTTTGTAATTCTACTTTTTGTTGTCGAATGTGGAACTATCGTTATGAAGCAAAGCCAGTGGTTAGTCTACTAAAAACTAAATGATCCGGTTAAATATGAAAAAAATCCGGAAAAAACGCCCACAGGATAAATAAGCCGTTTCGCCGAGTATCCGCTCAACTATTATACGTCCAGCAAATTTTACCTCGAGATATGGATTAAAAAATTGACTAACCTGAAATAACTTATGAATAGAAAGCAATTTCTTACTGGATTTCCATGTCTTACTGAACAAATTTTGAATATTCTCAACGGCATTTCAAACAAACTTTATCAGTTTCGTGCCCTTTACGTCTTCAGTATTGTCCATTTTGCAATTCATTTCATAGCTCTTCATCGTTATTCAACCTTACTTCCTAACTACTCGCTTCATGAGTACCACTCTAAAACAATATGATTAATATTGCTTGTTTTCCATGATCTGCGTAGGTCTCTGAGCTTACAAAAATAGACGAGTGTCCCTTAAATGATATTAGGATCACAGTAATGAGTTGATTCGATGTACATAATTATTCACCTTAAATTCGGACAGATCGTGTTTCACAATTGCTTTTGGGGTCTCCCTCATGCGGGCCAAGCTTTCTCTGAAATCTTCACCTTGTCTGGCTTTGTCTTTCAGTAACAGCTATCATGATAAACAGAAAACAAAACTCGTTGAGCGAAATAACAATATAACTAATGTCACGAAAACCGAGAAGGATTAAATTTGCCCTCACCATCTTCTTATTTCGTCTGAGAATTGACCATCTTGATCGCTTTTCAGGATCTAAGACCAGATAAGACAGAGGTTAGAATAAAGCTTGTCATTTGTTAGAAATATGCCGAATTTGCTCGCCCACGTCGAAAGACTTCGGAAGGCCGAGAGATCTCGAGCGTCTGAAATCGTGCCTCGCTCGGAGTGAGACGACAATGTTCAGTTGCCGACCAGAAAATATTTGCAAGCAGCAACGGCTTAAAACACATATTACAAACTATGATTGCATTCTACTTAGCAGTTTGTTTTGTTTACCTATACTGTTGAGTGAAGTCGATGAGCCAGAGAGCTCCTTCTTCTCTCGGATGACGCTTAAGTGCTTTCCTTCTGTAAAAAAAAAAATAACAAAGGATATAACAAAACTATCAAACTCTCCCTTTGAAACCAAAACGGCGCCTCGAATTCTGCTTGTCGTACCGCACATTAGCAGCATGTTCTTGGCAGCAAGTAAATTCGCTACAAAGGTGCGACAAACGACTCCACGGCTCTTTTGTAACTGTTTCATGTCAAAATAAGTGGAAACTTTCCGGCAACTGAAATTTTCCAAACCCTACAAACTTTTCTCACGCGTGTTCAATTTTCAAAGCTCCTCCAATCTGTTAATCTTCATTTGTGCAGAATAACTCCAAATTAGTTAGAGAACAGCGGCGTTTGATAATGTGTTCCGGCCCCGAACCCGGATCGTGAATGCATGGCAAGAAAATAAAATAAAACAAAATACTGAACAAAGAAAGTTCTGGAGGTTATCACACCTGACCAGAACTTGACCATTTTTATCGGCTTTAAGGGCACATGGTCATGCAACCGTAAATTACTTTTCATGCACAAAAAATCAACAACAAGAAGACTCCAAATTATCATTTGCAAGGTGACTCAGCTAAATAGCCTATGTGAGAGAGAATGGTTCAAAATGAACAAGTTTTGACACCGTTAAAAACCATCGGTTTTTTCTCGTTGCGGTTTTCTCCAGCAGTTTACTGAATGCGGCACAAAGAAACATTCCAAAAATTCTTGAAAAGTTTCAAGGTTCGCCGCAATTGCCGCTAAAAAAACGTTGCCAAATAATGCTGCTCTATTCTTTTCGAGTTTAACTTCTTCACTTTCAGAACTTTAATCAAACTTCAGACTAAAACAGAAATTTCAACGCAATGTGAACAAAAATGTAAAAAAAAGTGTTCAAAGTAAGTCCAAAATTTATGCACTTTATTTATGCACAATTTATTTGTACAGATTAGTTAAGAATGGTCACTTTTCCGCGCTAAATACGGATCACGTGCCTGTTTCCGGTCGTTCCCATCCGTTGCTTGGCGGTATTGATCTCCTCACCCAAAAAAAAAATATTATTTTGTATTTGATAGTTCAAGCATTTGTTTTGTAACCGGTTTCTAGATTAACCGAAAATTCAGATTTTAATATAAAAAACCGTGGAGGTTAGATTATAATAAGCTTATAAGAATAATGCGCAGCTGTAATTCTGTTGTATAGATATTGCAATCCATTCAAGCACAAATAGTGATTTGATTTCACTTAAATTGGTGGCATTCATCCACTCAAGGAATGGGCAAACGCCTTTTTTTGTTTAACTTATTGTTGTTTTCTCATGTCCTGGTTTAAGACGTAGTTTTGTTTATTTTATAACCTTTTAGGTCAAATGAATTTGAATAGCTAGTTTTGTTCGGCAAGAACGATCACAGCTGCAAAGACGCCTCGGCCCGAAGCAAAATCGTGAGAGATCTGAAGGCGAGCGTGAAAAAACAATGAGATCAAAAACAAAAACCATACAAATTCCCTTATGTTTCTGTTGCATCAAAAACTGCTATTCACAAAAACACGACATTTTCTTACCCATTTGCTCTCCTTGAACATTAAGCACGTGAAGGTCCATCTGGTAATGGTCCCCAGGCATGGACACGACAGCGGACCCTCGTCGTTGGCGCGTTGACCGAGCATGCGTGAACACGGAGTCACTAAAAATAAATCAAAGTGTGCGTTTTAGTACATTTGTTTAAACTCTTTTATACTCCCTAAGTGTTTGATAGACTGTCACATCAGCAGGTTAAAGAGAAAACTCGGTCATTACGTACTCTTCTTCATCGGCCATCGTTTCTTCTTTTGGGTTTTCATCGATTGTTCGTGGACTCTGAAAGAACAAAAACATTTTTTCAGTATGCAGGTGTCACTGAGACACACACGGTGGACAAACTGTCTAAAACTATTACTTTAAGAGCTAAAAGCGTACGATTGACAATTTTCAAAAATGGTTCACGATATATAGGATCAATGTTTCTTTTACCGGCATTGTGCCTGCTCGAGATCTCTTTCTGCGGTTGTTCAGGAATTCTGCAATGTCGGCAGCAAGGCTCTCGGCGTTTTCTCTTTCGATATCCCCTTCAAATTTCTGAAAAAAGTTAAATAAGTCAACATTTGCAAAGAGTTTACTTCAGAGATGATTTATATCTAACACTGAACGATAGCGGCTTTCCTTACCAGTGACACTGAAGTTTGGCGGTGTTTCTTGACGTAAATTTCGTCGTCGTCGATCGACTTCCTTCTTAAACGGTTCTAAAATAAAACAAGAGTAGCGTAAGTCGAGTAACTCACTAGTGTAACTGACTTTAACAATGTCAAACACATTCTCAGCATCTCAGAACGTCTTCAGCACAAAGTTTGTCAGCACAAAGTTCACCTGGGCATGATTGATATCCAGTTTCTCCTTAGAACATCTAATTTTATCAAGCAGATGGGTGATAAGAATATTGACAATTATCAATTTGGGGATATCGTCTTTGTGTATAACCAAATTCTCACAACTATTATTAAACAAATTTGTGGGAATAATTAAGTAGCTTGGTGAAGAATAATCAATTATATGTACCGTTTGCACATTGTCTTTACTCTGTGCTTGCACGCCCATGGTGGACAGGTAATGTCCAAAGGATTCGACCGGAAGTGACACTGTGTGTGCCAGTTTCCTTCTCAACTGTGGACTGCCTTGTGGACTTGGCCCGGGACTGGGAGCGGCTTGAACCTCAGAAAGAATTCTCTGAAATATAAACATATCATTGTAAAAAGTATAAAGCTGAGTCTTACCACATATCTTTTATGTCATTGTGTGTGTTTTGAAATTCAGCTGTGGTGATAAGTCAAGATATGTTTCTGCCGCGCAATGTACGAAGGCTTTTGCGGTACACTATCACATATTCTTGACAAGGAGACCCCTAGCTCTTCCTTTGTACTCTCACGACTTCGCTATTTTAAAAAGGGTTTTTTTTTCTTTGTGGAAGTGATTATTTTTGGATATGAGTACCACAATGCACTGCGGCTCACCTGATGCCTCTCTCTGATATCTGCGTCCTCTTCAAGAGTCAGAGGTGATGACCGCGGCGATCTCTGGGGTGCTAAACCTTCTTCATTTATTTGAGAGGGAGTTGGGGACGAAGAACTTGAGGCCAGATCATCTTGAGAATGCTGTTAGACGAAACAAGAGCAACTCGTTAAAACAAGGAAAAATTACACTGGTCAGTCTATCTTGACTAAAAAGCGATTTTTATGCTATATTGACTTGTCTGTCTGTCTTTCCTTATTGTACTTCTAGTCCTCCTCTGTGTAAGCTGTTTTTACTGTGCTTCATTACAGACAGAAAACTACAACATGAGTGTTTTCGCTACGATCCCAGCAAAAAGGTTTAGGAACACTTGACTAGTTTGTAGCCTTCTTTCAGTGTCTAGTTTGAAAATAACCGATGATGTACACTCACAAGAATTCCCTTAGAAGATATTTTCCCTAACACTCTCTGAGCAGCTCCCAACGGCGTCGAAGTCTTCTAGGTTGTACAAGATGTTTGAGGTATGCGAACTCCCGGCCTTACAGGAGAGGTGGGGTGGGGTGGGGTGCGGAACATTGCTGTTTTCATTGACAACACAGAAAGTGTACCAAACGTTTTTTTCCAGGATTTTAGTTCTAGGAGTGTCATAGTTCCTCAGTGCATGACAGCATGAGGAAGATGTTGCTGAGACTTCAAACTTAAGGACTGATTTGATTGACCGTCGCAAAACCAGACCACGGACCACGAGCCCGCCAGTGACATAAGTAGTGTAATCTAAAAAGCTTAAACTTACCCTCGAAGTGGGAGATGGTGATCTGGAGCTGTCTTCACTCGCATTATCCTCCTCATATGGTGAAATAGTCACCTCAGGGACTGTAGTTAGCTCAGCATCGTGGAACGATGAGGGTCTTGAACGTATCATGAAGTCAGATGACAGGGGGTTATTTCCATCTGACACGCGACGCTTTGGAATGGACGCGGCATCTTTGCGATAGGGGTTCTTAGTCCTTGCTGTGCTTTCTCCACACCCGTCTGAAAAGTAAAGATAAAACACAAATGAAGAGATCCAGGCTAGTCACATGGAAATGCAAAGGGTGTGGTGCTGCTATTTCAGAATTAGAATGCACTTTGACTCGGCATATATTGACTTCATCCAACACAAAACAGCCCCATTCAGTGTAATGCTAAATGATTTATCTCCTGCCTGGAGGCAAGTCTCATTACTTGCAGTAGAGCCAATTATTGTGGCTAGATCACTTCGACAAAAGATAGATGAACAAAAACATAATAAATCGCCAGACATTACCTGCCAGCCTTAGTTCGTTTCTCAACCATTTTGGATATCTCGTCAGCAAGACAAATCGCATTCTCTTATTTATTTCTCACAAATGTTTCTCTTTATATCTCGCATTCATCCCAAACTTGCCACGCTTTGCTTTCGTTTTGTTCATTGCAGCTGAACAGATTCAATCCACTACTAACAGAGTGAATCTCTGTTAGGGGGGATAACCCTTGGGAGAAAAGGGAGGGAGGGTGATCACTCACCTAATAAACTTGGTGAGCTGGAAGCCCTTTGCAATTCATTCAGACCAAGGTTATTAGCAATCATCGGATCAGTCCAGTATCTTCGCGTTTCGCTAAATTTTCTTCTTTCTTGGACGCTCTGTGTTTGAATGGCGAACAGCTGACTTTGCAAAAACTGAACCTTTGTCGCATCAGTCAAATTTGTGTCTTGGTACTCAGGTCCCGCGCATATATTATCACTCTCATCATTGAGGCTTGTAGAGTGGAACTCAGACTCCACGCTTTTGTCGTTATTCTCGGTGTCCGAGCTTTCGACAGATTCAGTTTTATCCTCGAAGGTTTCTAAATCATCGGTTGACGTGGATTTATCTTCCGTGAGTATTGTGTACACGATATCGTCTGTTGATGTTGATATAGTCTTGGTAATCTTGACTGGTGGAATGCTCTGTGTTTGATTACAGTCTCTTTCCACAGCTTCTTCGCCGTTGTATAATTCATATTTAGGTGTCGGACTGCTGCTTGCTTGTGGTAAATGCTCGCTGAGGTCTCGGTCTTTAGGGTGTTCACTGCGATCAGAATCTACATAAATGAATAAATAAATGAATACAATAAGACAATAGAATTCAATCGGTAATCGTGTGCAAAAGTGAACAAAAAAATGATAGTTCACACAGTTCACAAATTCACATTCTTTTGAACACGTTTTCTTCGAAATTAAGATCGTTTCCTGAACACAGTCGAACTCTGTGACGGTATTCAGCTGAGTTCGACAGTCGAATTCACAAGAGAGATTTTCAATCGGTTACCCTTCTCGAACTATTATCGATTTAGTACCTTAACTTCGCCTGCCACTAACGGTTGTCCCGACTTTAAAGGTCTTAAAAAGATCGATATATATTAATTTTCCTGACACAATATCCATACAGTGTCAACTAGGTAGGTAATGAGAATAAAGAAAACCAACAACTAAGGGATGCTGCCTTTATGTTCTACCAAATTTTCAAGACTAACATTTAAAAAAAAATTATCGCATTTAGTAAGAGGTCGTATCTTCCCGTCTATTTTCATCATTTACTTTTGTTTGTCAAATAACTAGAATGTTGCGCGCGTGTGGCATTGTAGCTATTGTTATTTTTGTGAAATGTGGCGTCTCAAGAGCAGTAGACCAAGAATTTCTGGGGTAAAAATGGTCAGAAATTCATAACTGGAGCTAGCGGAGGAAAACGGTAAATTGCAGCTGGAGGAACTAAACCAGCCGATTCGAGGAAATCGTCTTATCAAGAACCTTCATGATTTTTGTCAAATAAATTACGGTAGTTTCACTACTCGAGTTCTCCTGGACTCATTACTAAATTCCCGGCAAAGTTCTTTGGTATGATACTATGTCATCATAGCACCAACACCTTCTATCACATATTTGTACTCTGAACTATTACAATGAAAACTGACTCATTCGGATTACCACAAAAAAAAGGTTCATTGTGCGGTCAACGAAAAGAATTGAGTAAGACATCTCAGAGCGCCAAGGCGATTAACTAAATAAATAAACAAACAATTTATATGTATGAGAATCGTGACCAGAATTTCTATAAAAATAGTGCCGCGCACTTCCGATTGTCGGTATATTGGGGTTTATGTCCAAAATAGGTGCAATTCACTTCTGATAAGTACTTATATTTACTTTAGGTGAAATTAATTGACGTGTCTTATAGACACAAGGTTAACTTGAGGGCATCACGTAACTTTTATTGTAGAACAATGCTTTATCCTAATTAAACTTTTCATTTACGTAATCAGTCTAGCAGAACTGCCGGTCCAGGGTCAGTCATGTTAGTCAGCACGTCGCAAATATATCTTCCAAGAGTTATTCATCACAGGAAAGGATTCTCCTGATATCTTCACAGAGAAATGTCCATTTTTAACGATGGTACAGTATACTGAACTTAAGTTTAGAATTTTGTTTAATGATCGGTATTACTATTCAAAAGATCAGCCAATAGAATGCTGCAATTAAATTAAGTCTACAAAATCTCGTTATACTTTTCGTGCAAACTTCGATTTTGCAGACTTCAAATACAAAACCTGTTTCTACTAATTTAATTGCCCTCCAAATGTTTCGCAGTTTTCTTATGCGTGTAATTCCACCTGAGGTTCTACAATGTTTTAAAAAACTAACCAGCAGGTTTTTCATTATGGTGAAAACAAAGTATTACAAACTACGACTTACTCCCACACAGAAAATCTGGATGTGTCTGTTACAGCCTCTGGTTTTTCAGTTTTTACCACAATGATCAGTAGATACTAAATAAGATATGCGAAAATGAAAACAACCTATCGTGTGACTAATAAAAGGAAACTCCAACCGCGAGATAAATGTCGTATTTACCTCTCAGTGTAGGGACGGAAAGGCTGTCGCTGTCTGCTGGTGGTTTTTCAGTCGTGAGATAAATGTAATGAAGTCCAGCGACATTTTGTAGCATCACTGCGCGAAGTTTTGGTTTGTCTTCTCCAGTATGCATGGCTGTTCTTGGCAGGACCATAGTGTCAGGATTTCTGCTCATTCTCGCGCGTGTGAGCATTTAACCACCGATTGCTAATAAATATTTTATGAGGATCAAAAAGCAATTACTGATGTTCACCAGTGACCCATAACACTCTCGTCCCTTCTGCTTCATTTGAATTCAGTAAACATTCAGCTTTGTTTACGTGTCACGTATCAGGGTAAAGGTTTCCATTGCAATTGTAAATTAATTTGGTGTTGCTTAAACCATTTTAGTATCCGTGACTTTGTATTTCGTTGTTATCAGCTCCCAATCAATTCAGGATTAAAAAAGAAAACGGGAAAATGACGTATGTTATTCAAGTCCTTCCGGAACTTTTAAATACATCTCACAAAAACAGTTGTTTTCATAGGGATTTACTCTGGATCAACAATCTTTTGTACCACAATTGTCAATTAAAAGTGTACGTTTTCCCTCACGTCTCAAAATTGTGCGGTAGTCAAAGTATGCTCGACAAAGACAACTGTAATCCATAGCATAGAAAATGGAAAAAGAGCTATGAAAAGACATAATTGAATAGACACAGGAATGTGATAGTAATAGAAAGATACATAAGAGCTAAACGAAGTGTTCATTTGATTTGTACAAGCGTATTCTCAAATTCATAAGCAAGTAATCTAAGTAAACGACTTCCAATTCTGTTCAAGTCAGCTGCAAATTAATATTACTTATTGCGACATAGATTAATTTGCTCAGCTTAAAAAATGAAGCGACAACACTTAAATTCTTAGAATACGTCGGTTGTTCCCAAATAAACTTAATATAACATCCTGGGAGGTCTACGAGATACTCCAGAAATTAACGCCCAATTCTGTAAATTTTAGTGTTTTTAAGTAAAATTGAAAAAAGCAAAAAAGACTTAAGTGGAATGTGACGCGATAACGTGAGAGACAATTAAACTCTTTGTATGGTGTTTTACTCTCATTTGAAAATAACAGCACGGTGTAAGACAAAGACAAAGAAATCTCGAAAATATTGACTGAGTGAAGATAATGCTTGTAGAGGATTGTCCGAAATCCCTTTGTTTGTTATGTTGTTGTTTGACTTGGACGTGTTAGTTGTTGAAGCTAAGTGCCCTCATTACATTTCTTCGCTTGGATCTAGCACAATAAAGACGGAGGAATGTTTTACATTTCAAATACATTTGAGACATTTGAGGGACATGCCTAAATGAGTGAAATGAACGCTACTGGACAAATTGAAGGTCTCCCTACCAGTCGTCATAAATCCTGCATTATTATGCTCAGGAGAATGTAATTCTTGAGATCACCAAGTCTTTTATTCTCACACATGTCAAAGCTACTTATATTTGTCATTAAGGTAACTGAAAAGTTAACCGATATTGTACTACATTAAAGAGCTGACATGTCGAACGACAGACGTTGACTAATGAACACTGGTTTTGGTCATAGATTCTACGTGGTATTCTAGAAATCTGGAGCTAAGCCTGAGCAAGATCATACTTGTATACACATGTTACTCTGGAATTTGGAGAAAGGGGAACTAACGATATCTGAACCGGCCTGAGTTGCCTTTAGCCGTCCTTGTAAAAACGAGTCCTCATGTCGTATTGTATCAAAATGTCTTTGATTTGTATGGGTAATCAAGTGAGTTCGAGTGCAATTTGGAATAGATAAGCACAACTAAATTTTTCAAAGACCAAAAAATTGGCACGAGCACTTAAGGCGAAATTTACTAGTGCTTAGTTATTCCAAATAAGCCCTTTGCACGATCCGGTCACATGGTGAAAAATCACTGGGACGCAAGTTGCGCAGTGGGACAAAGACAGGTCAAGGTGTAATGGTACGAACTGCTTTGTTTTGGAAGTCCAACTGTACAACATGCATCCCAGCATGTGTGATTTTGTACCATTGCACGAGAAAAATCACTTGATTACTTAATAATATACATGCAATTTGATTCAACTTTCTGCACTCAATTTCAACTTTTTGCGCTGTTTGGAATGAATTGACGTGCTCTCAGCCAATCAGCGTGCTGAAATTTTTGCATGTACACAATGTAAATTATTACCATGGAAATAAAGGTGCAAGTGAAATACGCTTTCATATGAATTGTTTAACACGGAGGACTTTGACACCTGAAACTTGGAAATGGTATATGTAACTTCGCTACCACGTAAATCTACCTGACGATCCTAACGCCGCAGAAACGATTACTGAAAATTTGGCGATGACTTCATTAGTTAGAACTTCGAAGGCTTCGCTTTAACTCAATAACGTTTCCTGTTTTGTCTCACCACGGTTAATTGCTTAGTATATCCCATGCTGTTTAGCTATGTAGGAAATTGAAAATTGTCTTATAAAAGATCGGCTCTGATAAGGTTTCAATTTGAAAACAAATTAAAAATAAACTAGGCAAAGCTGATAAGTGGATTGTCAAATTGGTTATTTAAAATCAGTAGACGTGTTCAGCCTGGAAAATGCAGCAAAACAATAAAATAAAAAATGGAGAATAAGAAAATGCCGTACGAAGAAACTATGAAGCATGTAGACCCAAGCAGGATTTGTTTGCACAACAACCTGCATATGATATGCAATTTATTACGGGCAAGCAAATACCGCACCCCGCGCAAGAATATTATGGGTGTTTCCTACTGAAACTTAATTCTGGTGCTCTCGACTGAATAAAATGTCTTAAATCTTACACTTTTTGCAAAGATATTTTTGACCAATACAACGATAAGCTGGCACGGGTATGTATGAGATAATGTCAGTTCTAACACATGAATGAAAAGCGACCAAAACATTCAGACTGAATGTATACAATGAGAAATATTTTCCTTTCAAACTCAATTGAATGGTCATGAATAGCCTTTCAATGAAATTGTTTACCAAGTAAAACAAATTCATTATAGACAAACTTCAGCAGGTTCTATATTCACTTTTTGCTTCACTTGGTGTTAGAAAAATTGGGGTAACATTCTCAGCTCACAGGAAGTGAATGTAAATTGACGTCTTTTATCTTTCACGTCAAGCATAATAAAAGAAAGTGAAACCTGGACTACATACCTGATTCATCGTCGTAAAATCCAAGTAAAGTTCTTTCGTATTTCCTCAAATTCAACTTAAGTTGTCTGTTTTCTTTAGCGAGTCTTTTAAATGTCTTGAGTGCTTTCATCTCTCTTTGGAGTGCATTTTGTAAGCGTTCACGGAGTATCTTATTTTCTGCTCTCAGTATCTGATACCTTTCATTCAAGTGTGAGTTCTCCGGCATGACTCGCAAAATGTCCTGCAAGTGCGGTTGGTTTCCGCTGGAAGAACGCGATATTGAGTTCATGTTTTCGTCGGTGTAGGGGCGGCCACCATTACCAGGAATTCCGTAGGTTAGTTCGTCGGTGAGTAAGCTGTTATCGTGCAAGTTTTGATCAAGATATCCTTGCCTTTGTGTGCTCCTGGAGTTTGGAATGTATTCTCTTGTTCTTCGCCTTCTCAGCGGTGGCGATCGACCAGCTTGTACTCGCTCAGCGATTCCAGTTCTCGCCATGTCACGGTCTGACGACATCTCTTGCCAAAAAACCTGGTAATAAAAAATTTTCCTGTTAAACAAACTTGCAGCATTTAACAAGCATAAAACACTTTTTATCAATTTCAAATTCGCATTTGTTACTTTCAGAGCTGATTGGATGAACATCATAACAACATTTTATCGGCTTGTTATTGATGCACGCATGTCTGATTTCTGCCCGCCAGGAGATACTGAGAGAAATAACCACTTATTAGTCACTTCTGCACGGGAAATGTAGCTTAGCCCTTAGGGAAAATACTAATAAAGCTTGCAAAACACTAAAGCTCAATAGAGATATTAATACAGAATATGCACCCAGGAACTTTAGTCTTGTTAGTATGATTTAAGGTGGGAAAAATTGGCTTTCAAGATCTAATTGATATAATCAAAGAAATATCTCAAAAGTTAAGGTTCACCTGCAAGTCCACGCAACTTCTAAATTTTTGCACCGGAATACTGGTTGCTTTTGAAGATGCATGAGCGGTCTGTTTGAGCTAGGTGGCTCGAACTTTTGTCCATTTTCGTTTCGTAGAGGTGATAGAAACACAATGCATTTGTAATTAGAAGTCTTTTGTAACTTAAAATATGCAGGTAGAAACTAAAAGGTGACACCGCTATTGTCGTCCATTCTGCTTCTTAGACAAACGATTCAAACGACCGACTGCAATATCAGTTATATTTCGTGATGATAATCTTCTGGTAAACTGATTGCACGCAAAAATTTATGACTAAACATTCACCGGCTAGCCTTGTCTTTTCTTTCACCTCTTTCAGGGCTGTGGTGTAACCTTTGGTTTATTAGCAAAAGGGACGTCAGAGCAATAAAAGAATAACGCTGTCTCTTGGGGCTGGCTGGACTTATAGTTACCGCACATCGTCAAATTACCTGGGATGACACTAAACCGTTCGAGCGCTCGATGCCTATTGGACAAAGTGAAGTTATAGTCTTTTGTGTTCGATCGTATAGCTGTGTTGATAGATTTTAATTATGTCAAAATTCTTCAGAGGTGAAGAACTAAACACAAAAGTGACACCTCTGGGCACGTTTTCACGTCCCAAATAACAAGACAACGTGGAATGTGCATGTTACCTGTGTTGCTTCAGACACTAACATTGGCAATCAAAATCCACCTCGTGTCATCTCCTGCAAATAAAGCACAAAAACATTCGGTGCTTTGTTTAAGTGGCAAAAATTATGCTTTAAAATGAGATTGTTAAATAACGCGGCTTCCAAGAGATCTCTGACACTGAGAAACAAGCAGCTTTACTTCTCTTTACAAAACATGGATAGCGCAAGTGCTTATTAGTACCAAGTTATCGTAATATACTTTCCGGCGTACTTGAAATGAAGCTCCAAATAGGTCTTAATCAAAATTGAACCTCTTGAGGTCTCAAGAATTACTTCAAAAACGCCTCAACCAGTGTTGACATGGCTAAACGCAGTGTAAATCAATTTTCAAGAGGTTTTACCCTGAAGCTTGAAGCGGAATAACGTCGTTTGGTTTCGGTGAAGAGGCCATTACAAGGGACTGTTGAATGGTCATTCAAAACAAACACACAGAGCCAGTGAATTAAATTAGTCGTTTGCATGTGCAAACTTAAAAAGCAAACAACAACTTACGTCTCTTGAAATTCCATAGATTTTGAGTAACTTCTGCGAAATACTTTTGCTGAAGATTTTACTTAATGGAGCACAGTCTTAAGTAGGTGGCAGGGTGTATCGTTTTGATAGTAAAATAGCCTGATAGCATTGTAAGCGAACGAAGAGACTTGATTATGTGATAAGTGTTTAATTCAGTGATGACATTTCGTCAGAAAGAAAGCTCTATGGTGGGATTACCGAGATGGAAACGTCGCTTTGTGTCTATATCCATTGACAAGCTCTTGATCTTAACGAAGCGGTGCATAAACGTACAAAGTTAATCAGTAGCTCACATAGGACAAAACAAAATCAATAACACAGTTTTTCTGTTGTTTTTATAACCTTTCTCGTTCTTTTAAAGTGCTTTTCTTTAGAACTTGTCTGAAATAGTTTTTCTTTAATCTTTCATGAAAATGAGAGGAAGGTTCCAGATCCAGTGTTCAAACTGATGGCCAAATAAATTCCCTGAAAGAGGAACTCGAACTTTTTTACACTGCAGGGCGTTTCGAGGTTAAATATGTAGACAACACAGCGATCGTTGACAAAGCAAAACAAATTTTAAATTCCAATCGGCAAAGACGCGCAAAGTGTAGCAAAACTGAATATATTTATCCTTCAAAAAGCCCACCGCCCCTATGTACTTTTAACGATGTGATTAGTCTCTATAGAAACTGTTGTGCTGCGTAGGTGTCAAGTGAAACTGACACAGTTGATTATCAGCTTGAAGCTGACAGAGCTAAATTGACCACCTCAGCTGAACTTTCTAGCAGTAAGCCCTTCTTCGAATTTTAAAAGTAAAATTGAGTGTTGTGGGTTGCTTGCTTCCTGTGTGTATGGAGTTACCTAATCGGAGAAGCATGGGAAGGGAGATTGCGCGAATAAATCGATAATAAGAAACAAATTAATTAATTCATTAATTATTTAAACCGGAACCTTTGGTTGATCCCAAGGGGAGAGACCCAAAATGCCGATTTGAAAGATAAATTGTTGTTCTGAAAATTTTCGTTTTTCAATGTTGCCTCGATGGACACAAAGGTCACAGACAACCATGTTTTTGAAAGAATGTGCGGCAAAATTGGAGACATTTTTGTGGCTATTTATCACGCCTTAAAATGACGCGGAAGTGATTTCTTTGCCTCCTTCCTGTCTCTCTAATGTACAACATTTTGCACGGAGATCAAGTTATTCAGCCATTACGTTACTAGAGGTGCAATTAAAACGATCGGTGACTAGGACTCAAGATGTCAACAGTACTGTAAATGAAACGAAAACAGTTACACTGCGCGCACGAATGGCGGGCAAGAAGATGGATGAAGCCAATTTCTGTAAAAGTCTGTAGTGAACACCAAAAGTTGGTAGTGAACACCTCTACGTTAATTAATCTATTGACTCCGACTGGATATAAACGAGACAACAAAATTAATTGATAATCTTCACTTGCAAAATTGTTTGACCGTTCGTCTTAACTACAAGGGGTATACAAACTGACGAAGAGAATGGCATAGCTTGGGCGAATTTCTATTCCTTTTGCGACCCAATTGCTTGCGACTCAACTATCAGCTACCAGTGAATGAAACAAAATTTAGCATTAAAACTGATTAGCCTAAGTATCTTTAGCAGAAACTTCCCTGTTTTTTAGTCCAAACAGCAAAATATAAAAAAGAAAATATACCACAGAATGATGTGAACTGACTTTAGAGTTATTTGACTCTAACTGCTTACCCGAATGTATAATCCTGGCTACCTAATCGGCCACAGAACTGTTGTTTTACAAGTTGTCGATTTTCGAGTGGAAACATGAAAGCTGAAATTTAAGCGAAATCTGTTTGGGCCAAGATGTTATAATTTGACTCGAGCCACCACTAAATAAGAAAGCCTCTCGAACTTTGGTTGTTGAACCTGTGGTACAGATACCTCAGTGTCGAACAGGTTATTTTAAAAGCATGAAACATACTTTAGAGAGCCGTGTTCTATACATCGTTTCGCAAAATTTTGTATCAGCCAATGTTTGGATCAACATTGAGCAGCGGGCAAAATTAAGGACTTAAACAAAACCATGCTGAATTCTCTTTAGAACAAACAACCTAAACTATTTATTGGACTTAGGCCATCCCCCCTTTTTTTTTTCGCTTATTGTCGAATGCGTTTTCTGATTTTGGGTCGGTCGGTCGGAAAAGGAAAACAAAAACAAAAATAAAATTGGAAAAGGAGTCTGGAGCTAGGAGGCCCGTTACCTCAGCATAATATCCGTGAAGCCTGGAAACGATAAGGTGTGGTTACAAAGTCAACATCGCGGCAATGGAGGAAGGAAAAAGTCGACGTCGTTGTTAAAATCAAACAAGAACAGGGAAAAACTAAAAATCTGTAAGGCAAAAAATTGCTTATGTTTCAGATTAAAGTGACAATTGTTTGAAATAATGTCTCATTGCCTTCATTGCCTTCTGTGTAACTTTTTCTTTTTTTTTTTGAAAACGCGAAAATCTGGGTCGGTCGGACGACGCTAAACAGAGAAAAAAAAGGGATGGCCTTATTATCAAGCAAATGACCGTAAAACAGTTGATAGAGAACATAATTCAGTAAAAAAAAAACCTTTGCTTCGCTTTCTTCTGATCCAATCGCGCTATTACTTGCGAGGTTTCCGTACGTGCGCCATGACGAGTGGCCCGACTCGCTCATGCATATCTCCAGGCAAAACCGCTGACTTATTCACCGCAGACGTCGGGTATGGCTATTTAACAATTATTCCATTCGCGCTTGTTGGATATGAGATGGTAAATAGCCAACGAGGCCCAGTTGGCTATAACCAATCTCATATCCAACAAGCGCGAATGGAATAATTGTTTATTAAATTCGGTGCGTTTGTATACTTGGAAATTATAGTTTAATTTTATTGGATTTTAATTTTACTAAGCGACCGGAAGTCGATGTGGTAAAAACAACAACAAGTGGGAAATCACATGACATGCGCACCGTTTGTAAAATTAGTTGAATGAAAAATTTGAAAGCGAAGCAAGCGAATTTGCTGAATGAAATTACAATCAAGTAGAATTCAAGGAACATCTATCAAATGAAGGAGATGTAACCCTGGTCAGGAAGTTTGAAAAGCGTTCAAGTTCGAGTCATGGAGAAGAGCCGAATAATTGTGCACTTGCACATTGCCGTTGTAATAATGCTGCGGAAAACTTTGATCGC